CTCAAATTCCTTCTCTTCCATAGTGTCCATGTAATCAATGCCGGTATCACCATATATATTTCCATCACTTTGCTTGGTGCCTGGGTATACCACCATACCTTCATCAAATGATGTAAGCTTTTTCCTTCGATTACTATCCCTGCAAAATTAGCAAAATGCTTCCATAACTTAGTAGCTATGGAGGCTGTTAGAAATAAATGCTCCATGGTCTCTTGTTTATATTTCTCACAACACCAACATCTTGAGGCCACATTAATCCTCATGATTTGGAAATTATCATCTGTAGGGACTCTTCTTTTCCATACCCTCCATAAAAAGAAGTTGATTCTAAAAGGAATCCCCCTATTCCATATGAACTTGAAAATCTCCCTTTCATCTCTTCTGTGTCGTAACAAGTCCCAAGCTGAATTTACCGTAAAGCTTCCAGTCGTACTTCCCATCCACCATGCCTTATCCCTACCTGTTTCTATCAGTACATGGCTGATATTCTCTGTTATATATTGTACCATCTCTTCCGAAACATATTGATTCAGCTTCCCCTTATTCCATCTCCTTTCTTGTATGAATTGCTTCACCTCAATCTCCTCTTCCCCATGGTTCTGCTCCTCTAGATAGTACAAAGCTCCTTGCTTTGTCCAGTTGTCAAACCAAAAGCTTGCTTTTCCTGCCTTGACCTTCCACCATATATTATGCTCCACTTCCTCTCTGATTTGAATCATCTTTCTCAACACATGAGAAATTCCTGTCCCTTGAGCAATAACTGGATGTTGCTTTTTACAATATTTATTCCACATGTAATGACTCCATAGCCAATCCGATGAAGTTCTAAAATTCCACCACAATTTCACAAAACGTGAGTCCGCAACTGTGTGTAGTGATCTCAAACCAATTCCCCCTTCTGCCTTAGGCAAACATAGGTCATCCCAAGCCACCCAATGCTTCCCTTTTAAACTACCAACCTTTCCCCAAAAAAATTTGGCCATAATTTTCTAAATCTGGTTGATCACCCCTTTTGGTGGATTCATAGCTGACATTAAGTATATAGGCATTGATTGTAAAACATTACAAACCAATACATGTTTACCTCCATACGTAAGTAACCTGCTATGCCAAGCCATCACCCTTCTACTTACCTTTTTCACTAGCTCTTCAAAGTGACAAATCTTCTTTCTCCCATAGAACATTGGCAACCTAGATAAGTAAATGGGAAGGACCCTACTCCGATTCTCGTAGTTCTTCTTATTATATTTCTTGCCGTAATAGATACCTTCTCATGAAAATACATATAGCTTTTCATCAAATTATGAGTTGGGCCGAAATCTTCTCATATTTATTCAACACTGCCATTATCTTCTTGACTGATCCTTTGTGGCCTGAACAAAATAATATAGTATCATCTGCATACGATAAGTAATTGATTTTCTCACTCCATTTGGCATTCCATATACAATGAATTTATCATCCTCATTCAACTTATTCAAACTTCTCGTTAACACTTCAGCTGCAATTATGAATAAAGTTGGTGATAAAGGATCTCCTTGCTTTAAACCTCTTGACGATGGAAAGAAACCATATGAGTTTCCATTGACTAGTATAGAATACCAATTATTCGTCATCAGCCTCCAAACCATATCAATGATTCTCTCTGTGAACCCAAACCTCCTCATTACCTTTGTCAGGAATACCCATGATACTCTATCATATGCTTTCATCATGTCCAACTTTACCACTATATTATGATATTGATTGCGCTTGTTGATGTCTCTGATGATTTCTTGGGCTAACAGAACATTTTCCGCTATGCTTCTTCCTTTCATAAATCCAGTCTGATTTTTCGATATGATTTCTAGAAGTACCTCGGCCAGCCTACCATGAATTACCTTTGAAATTACTTTATTTATGTACGTACTCAAGCTGATTGGCCTTAAATCTGTAAAGCTCCTGACTTGTTTCTTCTTTGGAAGAAGGACCAGGTTCGTGTGTGTTACAAATCTTGGTAATTCCATGCCACATAAAAAAGCTACCACCATTTTCACAAAATCCTCCTTGATAATCTCCCAGCAGCTTTGAAATTTTTTTCCTGAGAACCCATCTGGACCACATGCACTGTCACTGTTTAAAGAGAAAACTGCCTCTCTTACCTCTTCCTCCATGGGAGTTCGATCCATTCTTTGTTGTTGTTCCACTGTGATTAGTTTAGGTATGCAGTCAATCATTGCATAATCTGCATTGAAGTTGCTCTCCTTGAACTGCTGCTCAAAAACCTTTACTGTTGCTTCTCCAATGTCTTTCTTATCTTTAAGTAAGACACCTTGTTCATCAAGTATCTCATTCAGTTGAAGCCTTCATCTTCTCCCTTTCACATAAGAATGGAAAAACTTTGTGTTCCTATCCCCATCTATAAACCATTTCATACCTGACTTTTGCTTCCAGAATTCTTCCTCTACTTGATAAAACTTTCGGAGATCCTCCTCTGCCTTCATCATCTCTGCCCTATTACGATCTGTGCTAGGGATCTCAAATTGTATTTCCTTCACCTTTACTATATCTTCCATGGTTGCAACTCTATGAAAAATGTTCCCATACGTTTCTTTACTCCACTTAGTTAGTACTTTCTTTATGATTTTCATTTTTTGCTGAACTATGCGAAAAGGGCTTCCTTGTATCTCGATTTTCCAGTTCTCCTTCACCACTTCATGAAATTTCTCATGATTTGTCCAAAAATTCAAAAAACGAAAAGGTTTATTGTACCTTTCCTGATTAGCATGGTACTGCACCTGGATAGGACAATGATCTGATCCCTCCCTAGTAAGATGTTGTATTTCTGAAGTAGGGAATTCCTGCATAAACTCCATGTTACCTCATATCCTATACACCCTTTTAAAATCAAAATCTCTAACATATTTATTAAAAATAATTATAATTTAAAATAATTATTAAAAATATCAATATGATAATTATATAACAAATAAAGTGTATTCCAATATAATTCATTTCACTTTCTTTTATTTCTCAACTGAGGCCCACTTTTGACTAAGTTTGACTCCATTACCCACAATTCTCTCTCACGTTTTTTACTCAAATTCTCTCACTACAAATTCACCTCCACCTTTCTGTTTTTAACCGGGTTTCCTATTATCTCTCTTTGACATTCATCTTTTTTTTTCTTCAGAAATCTTATTAATCACTCAAAAGATTTAAACTCATTGAAATTCAAACCCTTCGAAGGAACCACCTATTGTTGCCAATATGAGAGACCAGCAAAATGGTGAAGAGTCTTGCAAAGTCAATGACACCATGTGGGTGGTGAAACAAGAAAGGTCTGTTGAAACAAAGAGGGATATGAATTATCATGCAAAGCTAATGGCACCATGATGCGTGATTGCTAAGTTAGCCCCAAATATTGCTATAAATATTGACAGCAACCCATTTTATATGCCAACAATTTTGTATTCATTCTAACTATACTGCCAACAAGTTTTGTATTTTTTGTGCTCATTTGGTATTTCAATTTCACTTTTTAAGTCAACAATTTTTGTATTTCTTTTTAATTTTTTATTTATTCTAAAGGTATGCCAACAAGTTTTATATTTTTTGTTGATCAGTATAAAGAAATAGCAAGCTGCATGTATGAGTTAGTTAGTTAGTTAGAAGGGTCCAGATCCCAAGAATCAGTTAGTAAGTTTGTTAGAGTCATAAGTGTGTATATATATATATATCTCAGTAGCTGATGTAAGTCTCATTCACGTGAATACAATGTAAAGGCAACTCTATGTGAACTCAATAAGATCGCTTTTTTTCTTCTCTTTTTCTCAACTCCTTCTCCAATCACTTAAGCTCTTAAACTCCATCAATGGATTTATCATGCTATCAGAGCAGGGCCTGTCTCACCCGATGTTGGGCCCCCAAAATCAAAATTGCCCACGCACCAGATGCTAAGCACTGACCGTGAGGTGGGGTGCTAAGGAATGACAAAAGTCCCACATCGGTGGTTAATGAGATGGGTGGACTCCTTATAAGGCTTGGACAATCCTCCTCCCTTTGAGCTAGCTTTTGGGGTGCGAGTTAGGCCTAAGACCTAATTTAACATGGTATCAGAGCTACTGATCGTTGGGTAGTTTTGCTAGTATTACTTGACCACTGGATACTCAGAGTTCATCACTAATCCAGTGAGACTCGAAAGGAAGTATCAAAGGTTTAATTCAGTTGAAATTCAGCTGCAATTCATATTTCTGCAAATGGCGATTGACAGTGCGAGTGAAGGTGCAAATAATAGTGCTACTCCGGTAACTACATTTCCAATCATAGATCACAACCATCCTCTGTTCCTACAGCATACCGATACTCCAGGTAGCTCCTTAATTTCTCTGCAATTAATTGTTTCTGAGAATTATGCACTGTGGAGTAGATCCTTTAGAATTGGGCTTATAGGTCGTAGCAAATTGGGATTTGTTGATAGTAGATTCCCTAAGTCTATGTTTGAATCAGTGTTACATGATCAATGGGAAAAATGTAATGCTGTAGTTTTATCTTGGATTATGAATGCTGTAAGACCTGGATTACTAAGTTCAGTTGTGTATGCTTTTGATGCAAGAAAAGTTTGGCTAGATCTAAGGGAAAGATTTGATACTATGAATGGCTCTAGGATCTTTCACATTCACAGAGAAATTCATACTCTCACACAAGGAACAATGACCATTGCTGACTACTTCTCCAAATTGAGAGATCTCTGGGATGAGTATGATGCTATTATGCCTTGTCCATCATGTCCTTGTGTAGAATCAAGGAAATTTAGTGAACATTGTGACTATCAGAGGTTACTACAGTTCCTGATGGGCCTTAATGAGTCTTATTCCTCACCTAGAAGTCAAATTCTCATGATGAGTCCCATTCCTACATTGAACTAAGCTTATGCTCTTCTTATGGATCAAGAGTCTCAAAGAAATCTAGTGCACTCCACATTATCTAGTTCAGGAACTGGTCTGATTGAAGGTGTAACAATGTACAGTCACAGAAACTCTACCTATAATACAGGATCAAGTAGTAGTTATGGTCCTAGTAGAGCCTATAGTGGTGGTGGTGGTGCAAGCTTATCTAGCAGTTACAAGTCTAGGCAGAATTTATTACAATGTTCTCACTGTGGATGCAAAAGTCACTCAAAAGAGCAATGCTATAAAATTGTTGGCTATCCAGCAGACTTCAAGTCAAAGAAAAAAGGCTCAATTTCAAGTGCTTCTGCAAATCAGGTTGAGACTTCTTCACAAAGCAATCACAGGACTAGTCCAAGTCCTACTCCATTGCAGCAATCTGCAACTTTCTTCACTCAGGAACAATACCAACAGATCCTTCAACTACTTTCAAAACCTGATGGTGACAGATCAGTGGAGTCCCCTGCAAAAGTTGCTTCTGTAGATGCAGGTAACTCTCCTTGTGCATCTTTATGTTCCTATGATCCTGGTGAATGGATTATAGATACAGGAGCTACTCATCACATCACCTCCTTTCTAGCTTCACCTGTTACTAACAATACAACTCCAGGTGATTCAACTAGTCAAGTTCACCTACCTAATGGTAACACAGTTGCAGTATCTCATATTGGTAGCACTAGTATCTTGGCTAACCAAACCATATCCAATGTGTTGTACTTACCTGACTTCCAAGTTAACTTAGTATCAGTCTCCAAGCTTACTAAGGAACTCAAGTGCATGGTGGCATTCTTTCCTGACTTTTGTGTTTTTCAGGATCTCTCCACTGGTCAGGTGAAGGGGATTGGTAAGAAAGATCATGGACTATACATACTAACAAGGGGACCTAATCAAGCTCCAAGGAAGGTGGTCAATAGTAGTATTAGTCCTAGAAGTCAAAGTCATAGTACTTCTGTTGCTAAGTCTACTATTTTGCCCTCTTTACATTCTATTTCTATCTGTGAGTCAGCTGATGTATGGCACAAAAGGTTTGGACATGCACCCATTGATGTAATAAATAGACATAAATCTCTTAGTGCATTAAATAGCAAGGATCATTCCCATTGTACAATGTGTCCTTTAGCTAAGCACACTAAACTTCCCTTTACTTTAAGTTCTAAAGGTGTTTTTGAATTGTTGCACTGTGATATATGATACGCTCAAATTAAACCTCCCTAAAGAAGTATAAGCGATCGTTATCAAGTAAAGAACCCAACTTGTAGGTTGGGGTCGATCCCGCGAGGAAAATGGTTTAGACTTTACTTTTAACCAACAATTATATTCAATTAGACAAAGTACTTCTAGAAACAAGTAATAAAAAGGGGGGAATTTGTAAAACAAATTGTAAGAATTCAGTAAGTAATCAATAAACAAAAGTCAATTTCAGTTGTTATCAAGATGAGAAAATTAACTAGGGTATACGTGTCACCACAAGCTCATAACTCAGTAATCCTAATAACAACAATCCTTTTCTAGTGAATTAC